AGTACAAGCAGTGCAAGGCAGTAAAAACCACTGGAAATCTTGTCTTTAGGTAAAATATTGGTTATTCCTCAGAGGTTATAAAGCCTTGAAGGAGAATTTGTCCTGGGAAACTCAGGTATTGGATGATGTGATGTGGATCAGCCTTTAAACCCCACATCCACCCTTGGAAGTGCTGAGCAAAAAAAAAAAAAAAAGAAGTTAAAATTTCAAGCCCATTAAAAAACACAAATTCTGTTCATTTTATTTTGTTTTGTTTAAATGGATCCTCTTTCTAATTTTTTGTGTTGTAATTTGTGATTAAAAAACTTCCAAACTTGTCTCTCCTGGGCTATCTTAATGTGAAACAGGGGGTGTTGTTTCTTTTGTTCTTCTTGGCTTATTTTAAATCTAGAGAAATTACTTGATTCCTAAAATATGATTTGAATTCTTTCTCTTTATTAAAAAAGTTTAATTTTATTATCTTTCTTAATCTTGAGTTAATTTTTGAGTTGCAATAATTTAGCTATGGAGGAGTAAATTACTGTTTCTTGAAACTTCTTGATGTAAAGTGTCATCTCAAGGTGGAATTCTCTTTCCCAAAAAAGAGGAGGAATCACAGAAACTGATGGGATTTTGCAAATGTGGCTGCTGATTTGAATAACTGAATATGCATTTGGAAAACTAATCACTAATTTTAGGTACCTATTTTGAATATTTTGATAGGAGATTTTAAAAAAAAACTTTTACATTTTTTGCTTGTTTAGAGGCGATGTCTAAGAAAAAGCATTTCCTTGTTGGAGGCTGTCATTCAGAAATTAAATCCATTTGTGGGGACACCTGAGACAGTTTAGATGATTTCTCTTGAACTGCTCTGAGTCCAAAATCATTTCTAGCTACTTTTGGTAGGGAAATATAAACTCTGCTGAGGATCAGGGTGTGCAGGTTGTTCTTTGTTTGGAGCTCTGCCTACTGAACAGCTTTGCTGTGCCAGGGGGGCAGAAATGCAGAGCACAGTTAAATTGATTCCATGCTGGAATAGGGACAGGAGCCAGGAGAGGTTTGTGTTGGATATCAGG